GGGTACGTGTACATTGTTTGGTTGACAAGTGCACTAAAATCTCAGAATTCACCACTGCAGAATTTATCCATGTAACCAAAAACCACTTGCAACCCAAAAGTCATTAAAAATAAATTTTTTAAAATGTCTTTTCAATGCCAGGTGTGGTGGCTCATGCCTATAATCCCAACATTTTGGGAGGCCAAAGCAGGAGGATTGCTTGAGCCCAGGAGTTCAAGAGCAGCCTGGGCAACTTGGTGAGACCTCATCTCTTCAAAAAATTTTTTAAAAAAATTTGTTGGGTGTGGTGGTATATGCCTGCAATCCCAGCTTCTTGGGAGGTTGAGGTGGGAGGATTGCTTGAGCTCAGGAGGTCAAGGCTACGGTGAGCCGTGTTCATGCCACCGTACTCCAGCCTGGGTGACAAAGTGAGACCCTGTTTCAAAAAACAAAAAGTCTTTTTTTGACTGCATGTGGTGGCTCATGCCTATAATCCCAGCACTTTAGGAGGCCGAGGTGGGCAGATCCCCTGAGGCCAGGAGTTCGAGACCAGCCTGGCGAACATGGTGAAACCCCATCTCCAGTAAAAATACAAAAATTAGCTGAGCATGGTGGCACACACCTGTAATCCCAGCTACTCAGGAGGCTGAGGCAAGAGAATTGCTTGAAACCAGGAGGCAGAGGTTGTAGAGAGCTGAGATCGTGCCATTGCACTTCAGCCTGGGCGACAGAGCAAGACTCCATCTCAAAAAAAAAAAAAAAAGTCTCTTTGCAATTAAACTAAATTGTGTCCCCCCACAAGTTCATATATATGTTGAAGCCCTAATTGTGTCCCCCCACAAGTTCATACATATGTTGAAACCCTAATTCCTAGTACCTTAGAATGTGACTGTTCATGTATTTGGAGATAGAGCCGTTAAAGAGGTAATTAAATTAAAATGAGGTCCTTAGGGTGGGCCCTAATCCAATCTAACTGGTATCCTGATAGAAAGAGAATAGGACATGTAGCAGACACTGGGAGTGTGCATATACAGAGAAATGACCATGCAAGGAAGTGGCAAGAGGGCAGCCATCTGCAAGCCAAGGAGAGAGGCCTCAGAGGAAACCAATCCTGCCAGCACCTTGATCTTGGACTCCTAGCCTCCATAACTGTGCAAATATTAATTTCTGTTGCTTAAGCCACCCACTGTGTGGTATTTTGTTATGGCAGCACTAGCAAACTAACACACAGACTATCCGAATCAAAACAAGGTTCACACATGACATCTGGTTATAATTCTTAAGTCACTTTATTATTTTTTCATGTCATTGACTTGTTGCAGAAGCCAAGTCAGTTGTCTGACAGAATGTTCTACATTCTAAATTTTTCTGTTTGTTTCCTTAGAGAGTAATTCAACTTGTCATCCTTTCCCCCATCTTTCCAATATATTAAAGTTAGCTCTAGAGGCTTAATGAGATTTTAAGAGTCAATGTTTGGGTAAGAATATTCCATAAATGGTGCTGCACAGTTTTTTTTTTTTTTTTTTTTTTTTTGAGATGGAGTTACGCTCTTGTTGGCCAGGCTGGATTGCAATGGCACAATCTCGGCACACCGCAACCTCTGCCTCCCAGGTTCAAGTGATTCTCCTGCCTCAGCCTCCCGAGTAGCTGAGATTATAGGTATGTGTCACCACACCTGGCTAATTTTGTACTTTGAGGAGAGAGGGGGTTTCTCCATGTTGGTCAGACTGGTCTCGAACTCCCAACCTCAGGTGATCCACCTGCCTTGGCCTCCCAAAGTGCTGGGATTACAGGCAAGAGCCACCAGGCCCAGCCTGCGTATTCTCTTTTTAACCTGACAAAAAACGCATAGGTAAACTTGGTCCAGGTTCTTTCTGCCTCTATTTGTCTTGACCATATGCTGATGAAGTACCTGCTCATCTCCACACTATTTGTTTGGGCTAGCTGGTGACATTCACTTTATCCTACAGAAGAGTTCTGCTTTGACCTACTCCTTGAGAGCTGAAAGGAGGCCAAAGAGAGACTGGAAGTAGAAAAGACAGAGCCATCTACTCTCTGTGACCATATTCCACACGTCCAGTGTGTGCCCGCACTACAACCCTGTCAGATGTCTCAATAGTAGTGATCCTTATTTCCTAAGATTCACTCACATCCTTGCCCACTGACTTCCCCATTAGAGCCTTTTAAACCCCCTGGGAATCTAAAGCCATATTATGACCCAGAGTTTAGATCTAACAGTGACAAAGCTTGCTCGGTTTGTGCTTGCTTTTTGGTTTTTTAAAAAACATTTGTTTTAGTAATACAAACATAGGTGGTTAAATTGTACAGAAAAGTAAGAGAACGATGAACATAAAAGTCAGGATAATCATTATGTCTGGTGAGGAGAAAAGGTGGTATGATTTCAGGGCAGAGAGTAGACAAACAGCTTCTAGGATACAAATAATGACCCATCTAATAAATTGGATGGCACATTCACAATTTTCTTTCTTTTATTTTTTGAGACAGCATCTCACTATTTTGCCCAGGCTGGTCTTGAACTCCTGGCTTCAAGCAATCCTCCAACCTCAGCCACCTGAGTAGCTGGAATTGCGAACATGTGACACTGCATCTGGCCACAATTTTAATGTTCATCTTTAAACTGAAAATATGTATTTAAAACATTCTTTCATACCCATTGTATATTTCACATTAATTATTTTTATGTAAGCAGTCCACCATAGCTAGAACACAGGGTTTGAAGAGTAGAGTAAAAGGAGAAAAGACTGGACAAGGAGTTTACTCTAAAGGCAAATAGGAACTTTGATCATGCTCTCTTGGAAGTAACATCAGGGAACATTTACACCCAATATCAATTAAAATGGCTGTCTCATAATCTATCTATCAAGAATGATAGGAAAAAATCCATCTTTTCTAAGTTACCTAAATATGAAATACTCGACATCTTAAACATCTCACTGGGGAACATAATAATATGGTTTTGATGTACTTTTCCAGGGAGAGGAGTTTCAGTTTGCCCTAGGGAACACGCTTGCCTCAAAATCTTTTTTTTTTTTTGAGACAGAGTCTCACTCTGTCGCTCAGGCTGGGGTGCAATGGCGCGATCTCGGCTCACTACAACCTCTGCTTCCCGGGTTCAAGTGATTCTCCTGCTCAGCCTCCAGAGTAGCCAGGATTACAGGCACATGCCACCACACCCAGCTAATTTTTGTATTTTTAGCAGAGATAGGGTTTCACCATGTTGGTCAGGCTGGTCTCAAACTCCTGACCTCAGGTGATCTGCCCACCTTGGCTTCCCAAAGTGCTGGGATTAAACATGTGAGCCACTGAGCCTGGCCTGCCTTAAGTTCTTAAATGACACAAAGCTGGGAGGGATGCGGAACAAATGTTTTACATGACAGAATTAGAATATATCTTGGCAAGCTGGAGTGACAGGTCAAATATAGGCCAATTTCCAATAACATCTCTCATTTGTTCAGAACACTCGATATGCCAAGAGCTTTACATAATTTATCTCATTTAATCCCTACAACCACACTGTGAAGTTGAGATCCAGGAAAGTAACTTGCCCAAGGTCATAAAGCAAGTTAACAGCAGAGCCATGATTTGAACCTAGGTTTGCAAGCTCAAGTTTCAGTCTCAAGTGAGATTCCTTCAGCCACCAGAAATTAACATTCAAAACTGAATCCTCTGCTAACACATTAGGAATTAAGAAAACAATAATAAATAAATAAAAATCTCAATCCTCTTTAATTCAGCCTGTCACCCTCAGAAAACTGCATCACCCAACCCCAACCCCCTTGGGCATATGAGAGTATCAAGTACCTCCAAAGAATGATCAGATCAAATGAAAAAACAAACAAAAACAAAAAAGAATAATCAGATCAGGCCATTTTCATTAATATAACACTTGGGGACCCCCAACAGCTGCCAGGAAACCTCCATCTGTCCTCAAGAGCAAGTCCAGTCTCAAAAGCAAGCTGTAACAGGATTCTCTCTGCAACCCATTCCCAGCTCAGCCATGTCTGCCTCCCCATCTGTATTTAAGACTTTGCAAAACTCAAGCTCTGCAGTTATAAATGGAGGCCCCTTACCACAAAGGTTGCTCAGCAAGACCCCTCAGTCAGGCTATTCCCTACCTTCAATTTTCTCTCGTCCTCAGGGGCACTGTGATTTGATGGGTGTGTATAGCTGAGAGAACAGCACAACCGGCTCCAGTGCACAGTCATATCCAATGGAGCTATCCCGAAAGACAGCCAGAGAATTTTAATGAAAACCAGAAAACCCCTGGCTGCTAAGTCCAATTGCAGTTCAGGCCTGCCAGCCCCTCCCCCTGCAGCTAAGAATCTCTGAGCCAGCTTTGCCCCAAAGAGCAGGGAAGAAAATCCATTTTGCGTTCAGTAAATCCTTCCATAGCAGCCATTCCCAGGGTCATTTAGGTTAAAGGTGAGGCACATGATAACTGCAATGGGGCCCAGGGACCCTGAGAGGCACAGGGTGTGGCAGCAGCAGATTTGAGCCAACAGATTATGAAACAGTCATTTAAAAAAAAACAAGAAGTCTTTCCTTCTGCCAAAGCTCTCTGCCCACAGCTGCATACAAGGCTAGCGAGGAATCTTAACAAGCTTAAAGGGGCCGTATTTCAGATACTTGAGAACCAAGACAGGAGGAAATAAGTATTTTGAGCACTTACTATGTATCAGGTGCTCTGATCTCATTTCATCCTCACTGTGAGATGGGAACTGTAAACTGCATGTAACAGATAAGAACACTGACTCAGAGAGGTTCTGTAACTTGTCCAAGGAACACAGTTAGCAAGAGGGGAAACGAGATTGGAAAGTTCAGTGTGGGTGAGGCTCATCAGAAGTATCAAACTTTTTGTTAGCGGAGAGCAGAAAAAAAGAAAAAGAAAAGAAAAAAAGAAAAAGAAATACTAAACTCAAAATCCTGACCTGTCCTGACTAATAAAAAGAATGACTATTTACTGAACACTGGCTATGTGCCAGGCACTAAGCTAATATTTTTACATGCACTGTATCACCTAATCCTCACGGCAACTAGATAAGATATAGGTCGTTATTACCTCCATTTAGTAATGAGCAAACTATGGCTTAGACATTCAATAACTTGATCAAGGTCACTGCATCACCAGGATTGGAACCCTGGTCTGTCTAATTCCAGAGTGCTCACCTTAAAACACTCACCCTAACAGCCTTCAGAAGGGAGCCATCTAGATCATCATGCCAAGCAGGCAAGTTGCAGGGAGATTTCTGCTCCCCTCCCCAGCAGGTAATGCACATTCCAGACTTGCCTTTCAATTCCTCCCAGCACTCTTCAGTGGAGGCACAGAATCACTCGCTCTGGGAAAGCTGATAGCTATGTTTCCACCTTCCCATGTACCACGGACTCTGCTGTCCCGACACGAGTGAAGGAGAACGCCACCACCATGATCCAGAGACTCACGTGAGTATAGAAGCAGATAGCTTCTTTCCCCGGGCCCTGCTCCATAGGCCCATGCAACCTCAAGCAGCAACCTCTTCCTCAACAGCTCACAGGCCTGTTTTGTATTCTTAACAGGAGACCACGTGCCTCCTCTTTGAGCAACTGTGATTTCCCAAGGGAGATGACTGTCTAGACACAGCATCTATCTTGACAACCAGACTGGGCCACATGACGTTCGGTTTGATAATTTAGATTTTAGGGTCTGTGTTCAGCTCTCCAGTGAAGGCTCTGTGCCTGGCACCTCTGGGTAATCAGATTGAGTATCATTCAGTGCAACAGCTGACACCCTGGGTTAGAACCGTCTTCCCAGCCAGGCAAGTGTTACTTGAGGGAAGTCACAGGCATCTTATGGATCACACACACACAGGCACAACACACAAACAGTTCCATTAATGAGGCTAAAACTTGATAGAACTCTTCTATGCATGTTTAGAATTAAGTGCCAGGCTTTGACTGGTGGTAGACTGAATACCTAATATGTATCAGGTACTGTGGTGGGTACATTCACAGTCAATGTCTTAATTGACCTGCACTACATTCTGTAAGGTAGATAGAATTGCTATTATTCAGATGAGGCAACTAAAGCCCGGAGAGATAGCATAATTTGCCCAAAGTCACACAGGAAGTGGCAAAGCTCAGGTTCAAATTCTTTTTTTTTTTTTTTTTTTTTGAGATGGAGTCTCACTCCGTCTCCCAGGCTGGAGTGCAGTGGTGCGATCTCGGCTCACTGCAACCTCCACCTCCCAGGTTCACACAATTCTCCTGCTTCAGCCTCCCCAGTAGCCGGGAATACAGGCAGGTGCCACCACACCCAGGTAATGTTTGTATTTTTAATGGAGACAGGGTTTTATTATGTTGGCCAGGCTGGTCTCGAACTGCTGACCTCAAGCTATCTGCCAGCCTCAGCCTCCCAAAGTGCTAGGATTACAGGGATGAGCCACCACGCCCAGCCTCAAATTCATTTTTAATGTGATTCCAACACCCTTTCAGTCAATTATGAGGCCATTCATTTATTCCTCAGATAATTATTGAGCACCATCTATGAGCCAGCTACTGGGACACTTACAGAGGATACAACTGTTAACGTAAGGTAGGTCCAGTCACCAAAGAACTAATGTTCTTGTGAGGATAGATGACAATGCAGATAGATAATTACAGAATGATGAGATGGGGCCTTAGAGGAGTGATGGGGTCAGGCTTCTCTGAGAAAGTGAGATGTGAGCTGAGACCTGAAAGATGAGAATGAGCCAGGCATTTGCAAAGCTAGGAAAAGAGCGCAGGCAATAGATAGAAGAAGTGCAAGGGTTGGCTACTGGAAAAGGCTTGGCGTGTCCAAGGAACATAAAGGAGAACAGGGACCAAGGCTGGGTGAGCAGCAGGGAAAAAAGAACGGTTGAGATGACACAGGGCCTTGTTGACCATGGAAAACACTTTGAATTTTGTTCAAAGGGCAATGGGAGATCAAAGAAGAGTTTTAATCAGGGAAATAGTGTAATCTGATTTGCGCTTTAAATAGATAATTCTGGTTGCTGTGTGGAGAAGTGAGTGTAGGGAGTGGGCAAGACTCAGGAATGAGGGAGAGAGAACGGTGGCCTGGACCACGATAATGGTAGGGGAGTGGATTTTACATTTGGGAATGAGAAAGAAAATACTTGAGGTGAAACTGTTTTTTTTTAAAAATAAAAATAAAAATTTTGAAATTTAATTACAATGTAAAAAAATAAAAAGACAAATGATTTTTTTTTTTTTTTTTTTTTTTAGAGCAAGTCTTGCTCTGTCACCCAGGCTGGAGTACAGTGGTGTGATCTCGGCTCACTGCAACCTCTGCCTCCAGGGTTCAAGCAATTCTCCTGCCTCAGTCTCCCTAGTAGATGGGATTACAGGCGCCCACCATCATGCTTGGCTAATTTTTGTATTTTTAGTAGAGACAGAGTTTCGCCATGTTGGCCAGGCTAGTCTCGAACTCTTGACCTTATGTAATCCACCTGCCTTGGCCTCCCAAAGTGCTGGGATTACAGGCGTGAGCCACTGCACCCAGCCGAATGAATTTTTAAAAAAATAATGAAAATACTTGCTGATGAATGGCATGTGAATGGTGAAGGGAACAAACTCCTAGGTTTCTAGCTTGAACAACTGGGTAGAGGGTGGTACCACGTATTAACAGAGACTGGAGGAAAAGCAAAATGCTCGTGAGATAACCAACTATATCACACTAAGAAGAAAAAAAAAGTGGACCCCAGTTGTTTATTCAAGGGGAAGCTAGGAATTAAAGGCCTGAAGCTGCTACTCTGGTGAAAATAAGTGTTTAGGGGTTATGATAGAGAATAAAGTGCAAGAATCTGAAAGGCTGCCTTAGGAAACAGGGGTTCCACTTACTTCATGTGGCCATCACTGCCAAACTGGAACCAATGTGTGGAAGACAGACATAGGAAAGGAATTCAGTCTGACGTAAGAAAGGGCTGTCTCATAGTCAGATGAAATGAGCTGCCTTGGGAGTGGGAGAGGGTGACTTTTCTGTCATTGGAAGTGTTAAAGAAAAAAACAGATGACCCCTTGTCTACAGGGTTAGAGAGAGAATTCAGTAATTGAATAGGGAAAATGCTACATAAAATCCTCCTAAACTCTGGAATTCTGTGGTTTAAAGATAAAATCTTAATTAATCTAACCTTCAGGACTGGAGTTTCTCCAACAGGGCAGAACTCCCTTGGTATGTCCTACCTCTCAGAAGGCAAATGAGAACAATGTTAGCTAATTTTAGTCACTATAAAGTGACTCCTAGTTCATTTCTAAGTGTCAAACAAGATGTTGAAAGGCTTTTTGGTATAAGTGAAAGGCATAAGCTATGGAATTGGATATCACATATCTGCAATTGATTAGCGCTGTGTCCTCTGGCAAATTATTTAAATCCTCTGAATCTCAGTTTATTTCTTTGAAATACGGGGAAAGCAATGCCTTCCTCAAGATGTTTACTGTGAGGACCAACGCCTTGTGCCTGATACATTCAATTAAGAATAATAATGAGGCTGGGTACAGTGGCTGACGCCTGTAATCCCAGCACTTTGGGAGGCCGAGGTGGGCAGATCACCTGAGGTTGGGAGATCGAGACCAGACTGGCCAACATGGTGAAACCCCGTCTCTACTAAAAATACAAAAATTAGCCGGGCATGGTGGCGGGCGCCTGTAATCCCAGCTACTTGAGAGACTAAGGCAGTAGAATCACTTGAACCAGGGAGGCAGAGGTTGCAGTGAGCCAAGATCGCACCACCGCATTCCAGCCTGGGCGAGAAGAGAGAAACTCCATCTCAAAAAAAAAAAAAAAAAAAGAAGAAGAAGAAAAATAGCTAACATCTATTACTACAGATCCATAACTATATGCTAGGCATGTACTATGTGCATTTTTAAAAATCCAATCCTTACAACAACCCAGAAAGTAGCCACTATTATTATTCCGTTATAAAAACCAGAAAATTGATTTCTAAAGGTAAAGTAACTTATCCAAGAATCATATAATTAGTAATTGCCCAAATTAGGAAAAACCAAATTCAACAAAGTTGAAACAAAAAGATAAAGAAAACCATATTTAGATAAGTTGAAAAAAGTTACCTACTGTCGAATTAACAAACAATTCAATTCACCAACTAGTCATTTAGTAAATATTTATTAAACATATAAATAAATAACTGAATGAATGAATGATTCCAAAGAACATTTATTGAGTTCCTGCCAGGCACAACATCAAGAAACTAGGGTTACAGAAAATGTACATCAATTTAATTGAGAGTTTGCCATTAACACCACAATCTTCAAACTGCAAATAAACTAGCCAACTTAACAACACTTAGTCCATGATAAAAAGTCCTAAGAAATGCCATTCTCAGCTAAGCGCTCATGACTCACGACTGTAGTCCCAGCACATTAGGATGCCAAGGCGGGCAGATACCTTGAGCTCAGGAGTTCAAGACCAGCCTGGGCAACATGGCAAAACCCCATCTCTACAAAAAATACAAAAATTAGTCAGGTGTGGTGGCGTGTGTCTGTGGTCCCAGCACTTGGGAGGCTGAGGTGGGAGGATCACTTAAGCCTGGAATGTTGAGGCTTCAGTGAGCCGAGATCACGCCACTGTACTCCAGCCTGGGGAAGTCAAAACTCTTAGGGGAGAGCTCCGAGCAGTAGGCAGAGAAACAAGAGCACACAACAATGGAAGCTGAGGAAGGAGGCAGTCTCAAAGAAAAGATGAGTAAGACTTCCAAAGGAAGCAGAAATCTAAAAGAATAAAGGCTGAAAAAATGGCCGACTTAATAAGTAGGAGTTTGTCAAAGGACTTCTCTGGAACTGTGGGGAAATAAACCAAGTTTCAAACGGCAACTGGATGAATGGGTTAAACAGGAAGATGAGGCACTCTTTTAAGAAGTTTAGCAATAAGGCCGGGCGCGGTGGCTCAAGCCTGTAATCCCAGCACTTTGGGAGGCCGAGACGGGCGGATCACGAGGTCAGGAGATCGAGACCAGCCTGGCTAACACGGTGAAACGCCGTCTCTACCAAAAAAAATACAAAAACCTAGCCGGGCGAGGTGGCGGGCGCCTGTAGTCTCAGCTACTCGGGAGGCTGAGGCAGAAGAATGGCGTAGACCCAGGAGGCGGAGCTTGCAGTGAGCTGAGATCCGGCCACTGCACTCCAGCCTGGGAGACAGAGCGAGACTCCGACTCAAAAAAAAAAAAAAAAAAAAAAAAAAAGAAGTTTAGCAATAAAAGGAGGGAAAGGGAACGAAAAGTAAGTAGTCTAATGAGGAGAAGCAGCAAGACTGTTATAAAGAGTATAAGGTAAGGAGCAAGAGCCAAAAGAAAAGGAAAAGCTGAAGACAGAAGATAGATGCAGAAGATGCAGGAAAGAAACAGGATGACCAGACCCCAGCACGTCAAGAGGGGATAGCTACCCTTGGGAAAGAAGTCACCTTCTGCTCTAAGACAGAAATGAAAGAAAAGAGATTTTGACAAATGGACATGGTGAAAAGTTACTCTGAATCAAGCCTGAATACAGTACAGAGAGTGATCAAATTGAATAACATCATTTTGAACTTAAAATAATATTGATTTTTTTGAATCGCTCATAACTTGGTATTGAAAACGACAACCACCATTTTGGATATAAGTTCTATACAGTTAAAAATCAGTATCCTTTTTTTCTGGACAGGAAGTAGGATTTATTGGTGGGCAGTAGGAGGGAGCAGCACAGTGGAAGCCCTCATGAAAGCAGGGCATACCACTGGCCCAGAGGAATGTATTTGACCCCACAGCCATCTGGGATGAGCCACTTCTCATCCCAGAGCCACCATGTCTTCAAATTCATCTGCCCTGGTCAGGTGCAGTGACTTACGCCTTTATTCCCAGTACTTTGGGAGGCCGAGGTGGGTGAATGACTTGAGGCCAGGAGTTCGAGACCACCGTGGCCAGCATGGTGAAACCCCGTCTCTACCAAAAAAATACAAAAATTAGCTGGGCATGGTGGCAGGTGCCTGTAGTCCCAGCTACTCGGGAGCCTGAGGCAGGAGGATTGCTTGAACCTGGGAAGTGGAGGTTGCAGTGAGCTGAGATCACACCACTGTACTCCAGCCTGAGAGACAGAGTGAAACTCTGTCTCAAAAAAAAAAAAAAAAAAAAAAAAAAAATCATCTGCATCGAACTTCATAAAGCCCCACTTCTTTCAGATGTCGATCTTCTGGTGGCCAAAGAACTTGAACTTGGCCCTGCGGCGGGCCTCAATCACATGCTCCTGGGTCTGTAGCCTGGTGTGCATAGACATGATGACTTGGCCAGTATGAACCCTGGCCAAGGCTCCTTGAGGCTTTCCAAAGGCACCTCCACTGTTTGGAGCCTACACTGGGGACAGTACAAGGTCAGAGACATAAACATACATTAGAAAGGCCTGTCTCCAAGGTCCCTTAGAACAACCCATACAAGAAACAGGCTGCATACACTACCAAGGAAGCTGCTGTTTGCAGCTATTGCACACCAGGCCCCAAGGAGGAAAGGAACTCAGAAGGCTTAATTGGCCGCAGAAAAATCAGTCTTATAGAGATGTTGGTTATGTTCTGTTTCTTAATCTGGGTACTGGTTACCCTAATGTGTTCAGTTTGTGAACTTCATTAAGCTTTTTTTTTTTTTTTTTTTTTAAAAAGGTTTTTATAAACTCTTTAACTTTAAAACATTAAAAAAAAAAAAATGTTTAACCTAGGCAGGGTGAGGTGGCTCATGGCTATAATCCCAGCACTTTGGGAGGCTGAGCTGGGTAGATTTCGCTTCAGGCCAGGAGTGTGAGACCAGCGTGGCCAACATGGTGAAACTCTGTTTCTAGTAAAAATATAAAAATTAGCCAGGTGTGGTGGCACATGCCTGTAATCCCAGCTACTCAGGAGGCTGAGGCAGGAGAATCGCTTGAACCTGGGAGGCGGAGGTGCAGGGAGCACTGCACTCCAGCCTGGGCAAGAGAGTAAGGCTCTGTCTCAAAAAAAGAAAAATATTTTCTTGGTATTTTTAGTAGAGACAGAGTTTTTAACTTAGAATCACCACTCCTCTCCTATTTGTTCAGTTTTTAAAAGAGTAACTCAAGAAAATTATATATTCCTCCAGACAGGGAACATTCCTTACCATTCTTTTAGATCCCCATAGCACTAAATCAGACTAGATATACAATAAGTATCTAACAAATATACGTTGATGTGATTGGAAGAAGGCTAACACCAAATGTCCACACTTAAAACAAATCTAGGCCAGGTGCAATGGCTCATGCCTATAATCCTAGCACTCTGGGAGGCCAAAGTGGGTAGATTGCCTGAGCTAAGGAGTTCAAGACCATCCTGGGCAACACGGTGAAACACCGTCTCTACAAAAAAAAAAAATACAAAAAATTAGCCGGGCGTAGCAGTGCACGCCTGTAGTCCCAACTACTTGGGAGGCTGAGGCAGGAGAATTGCTTGAACCCGGGAGGTGGAGGTTGCAGTGAGGCAAGATCGCACCACTGCACTCCAGCCTGGGTGATAGAGCAAGACTCCATCTCCAAAAAAAAAAATAAAAACAAAAAACAAAAACAAAAAAACCCACAAATCTTTCTCTAGGAAATGGCACCTTCATGACTGTAAAATCTGGCAGCTCCCTAATTTTAGCCAGTGATTCCACTTAGCATCACTAATGATCTGGACAAACTGACATGTGCCTCCTTTAGTGATGAAACGGGAAACATACAACCTCAGCTTTAGAATTCTTGCCCAAAATATTTAATCTGTATATAATCATGCAGAAATAATTATACAAATTCAGATCATGAGATATTGTTAAGAAAACAGACCTGGAATCTTAAAAATATCATAAAACACAAATAAGGGGGGAGACTCCTATAGATTTAAAGAGACAAAAGAGGCATAACAACTAAATTTAATGTGTAACCTTGTTTGGATCCTGGATTAAAAACAAACCGACAGTTATAATGATTAACATTATAACATTAACATTATTATTAACAGTATTTGGACAACAGGGGTATGACAGATTGCAAACATGGCTGTGATTGTTCATGCCCCTGTATCCATGCCCTTGAGCAATATGACTTTGCAGTTATTTCCATCAAGAGGAGCGTGTGACTTGCTTTGACCAAAAGATTGTGGAAGTGATGCTGTGCCAATTCCAAGCCTAGGCCTTAAAACGCTTTGCACTTTTCCACTCTCTTAGAGCCTGCCCATAAGCATGGAAACAAGCCTGTTCTAGATTGCTGGAGGATGAGAGACCCTTCTGGAGCAAAGAAAAGCCATCCAAACTGAGGCCGACTTAGACCAGCCAGCTCCTCGTCAGTCCAGCAGCTGACTCCAGAGGTATAAAGGAGCCCAGATGATCAGCTGAGCCTAATCCACATTAGAAGAACCACCTAACTGGCCCATGGAATTATGAGCACTAATAAACTGTGGTTGTTTTAAGCCACTAAGTTTTGACATGATTTGTTTATCAGCTAGCTGATCAAAGGCAAAATTTAAATATGGACTCTATATTAGATGACATTATGGAATCACTGTTAAATTTCTAAGGCATGATAACGGTATTGTGGCTATGAAGAAGAATATCCCCCTTACACTTAGGAGAATACTGATATATTTAGAGATAAAGGATCATGATATCTGCCCTACCCCCTAGTGTAAATATGCATTTCTAAAGAAAGATAAATCAAATGTGGCAAAATGTTAGCAATTAGTTAACCTAAGTAAAGGGTTTTTTGGTTGTCCTTTGTACTAATACATTTGTTTTAGATTTTTCAAAACAAAAAATTAGATAGAAAAAAACCACACACCCCTATTTACCCTGTAACACAGCAAGCTACCATGCAGTGAACAGATTATTTCCATCCCCCACCCCCTGCCCCTTTTTACTGGAGGCAGCACTACTACTGCTGAGGGGGGAGGGGAGCAGATATAAAGTGCAGTAAACTAGGGTTATATTATGATATAGTTAAATGAAAGACTCATTAGGAAACTAAGAAATGTTTAAAGGGAGGTGTGTTAACAGCAAGCAGCCACTGAGGTTTTCTTCTGATATAATCAGAAAAAAAATTTGTGTAGGGTTGGATGGGACTTGAAAATAACAAAGCTTTGGCAAGAAACATGGGCAGGTCTTTGAATTATTTTGTGCTGGAAAACAAATATTCCTGTGTTTCTCTATTTTAAGAGATTTCTCAAACACCTGCAAATGAGAAGGGTATCTTGTATTCATCTCTACCCCCGAAAATCCCTAAAGAATCCTACTACTATAATCTAAATCTGTTTATTCACAACCTCATGAAAGCCTTCTTTATTTAATTTGGATTTTTCCCTCAAGTCATATACAGCAATTATTAATGCTGTATATTGACTTATGTGAACAAACCCAGAGGCCTAGGTTCAAAAGATACGGCTTTCTGAACTAAAATCTAAGAACTTCAGCTTTATTATGCCATATAGAAAAATTCTTAGAGTGAATGGCAAACAAAGCCCATTCTCTATATAAAAAACAGTAACCCAGGTAGGAAGTTTGTTTGTTTGTTTGTTTTTTAGAACAATCTCTACAAATCTGTTCAAAGATCTTTGGCTTCAAAAAAGTCCAGTAGAGCTATCCCATGTATTATCATTGTCAGATGAGAAAAACATTCAACTTATATAAGAAAGGGAAGAAAATACTGCCAGGTACTGTACATTTAATGAGTTGGTTGTTCTTGTTCATCAGAACTGAAAAATTAATGCAGCAAAGGCATCATTTGGCTCAAAGCCAAATCCATGCCTCATTCTTCTTATAGAATTCCTTGATTCACTAGCCCACAAACCCCAGGATGCTTCAGAATATAGTTTGAAACTACAGCTTTAAATTAAAATGGCTGTGCAAAAGGAAGGTACCACATACAGAGAGAATCTTCCAGTTGTCTCTACAAACTTTATCAGATTCAGAGAAACCAAGCAGGCTATCAGGTCTTCAAGGTATCTTTGATGTTCAAAGAGAATTCTACTGTACACATTAATTCTCAAAAATGGTCAGGGGCACTGTAAAAACAGCAGCAGGGCAATAGGCTCTCCTAGCCCAAATCTGCACATTAGCCTACCTCATGAAAGGACTAGCCATCAGCAGATCTAGACATGGTCTAATACAGACACTGAATTCCCATTCACTCATCACCAGAAGTGTCAACTGTTTAAAGAAGTGTGGATTGATTAACTCATTTATTCATTTATTCTGTAATCATTTATTTTTTTTTTATAGAGACAAGGTCTCGCTTTGTCACCCAGCCTCCCAAGCAACTGAAACTACAGGCATCCACCACTGTGCCCATATATATACATTTTTTCCCTAGAGATAGGATCTTGCCATTGTGCCCAAGCTGGTCTCGAACTCCTGGGCTAAAACAACCCTCCGGCCTTGACCTCCCAAAGTGCTGGGATTACAGGCATGAGCTACCACACCCAGCTCTGTAAACATGTATTGAACAAGTTTTATATGCCAAGCCCAGAGTAGAAAAACACAGCCGAAAAGGGCATGCCCACTGTCCACCAGGAAGTCACAAACTAATGGAGAAGCACAATCCAAGCACTTAGTCAAACTGCAATAAAGAGCTTTGCCATGGTTAAACACTTGAGCCTAGATCCTGACTCTACCACTTAATTGGCTTGGTGGCTTTGGACAAAATTGACTTAACCTCTCCAAGTTTTGTTTCCTCAGCTATAAAATGGGTACCTATTACATTGAGTTACTATCAGACCTGAGATTATGTATATGACTATACATATTATAGTAACTTTAGGTAAACGTTGGCTAGAATTATTAATCTTTATTATTATCTGAGTGGTTATACTAGGTATCTATTTGTATCTAAAATCCACCCTGAGATTCTAATAATTAGCTGTGTGACCCAGAGTAAATAATTTAAAATCTCTGGGCTTCACACTCTTCATCTGTTAAATGAGAGGTTATAGCTAAGTGATCCTAAAATCCCTTCAAGCTCTGGAATATTAAAAGGATCTATGATTGATCTTATACGGTTTCATATGTGTCTCAATGACACTGCTCAGATAAACTGATGAAACAAAGCAACTGCCAAGTAAATCACCTTTCTTCAGTAGTTGTCTGAATCTTTCATTTTACTTCCTTTAACCTCATTACTTACCCAGGCATATATGGCATATGCATAAGTAACAGTCCCCAAAGAAAGAAACAAGTAACTGGGGGAAGCCAGACCCCGATCTGTCCCATTCCTTTAGATTGGGCAGATGCTTCCAAAACATCAGTGAGGGGGCGGGGGTGTGTGCAATGAATGAATGAAGTATCCTATCTCACTGTGGGAGAAGTGCCTTGCTGTGCTTCCACAGTACCCACTGCTTGTCTCTGTATGCCACATTCCACATGGCCATCTCATCTGCCTGCACAGACTAAGCTGACTGAGAGCTAAAACTCTGTCGTATCAAATTGTGCATCCTTAATCCCAAACACAGTCCTGGAAAGTGATAGGCACCCAGTGTCTTAAAATTAACTATGATCCATACTTCCCTCAGGACCAAAGCTATACATATGCAAGGTGACTGGACACTCTAAGGTGTGGGCCTGACCTCTAGGGACCCTTTTCTAAGTGTCACCACTTAGAAAAAGGGCTGGGAGGGGGGCGGTATTTCACCTTTTGGCTTTCAGTTTCCTCACTGGTAAAATGAGGGGAATCTATTAGATCAGGGGTTGGCAAACTATGGCTCATGGGCCAAATCCAGCCTATATCTCTACCCCCAGCTTAGAATTATCTTTACTACTTTTTTTAAGAGACAGGGTCTCACTCTATTGCCCAGGCTTCAGTGCAGTGGCGTGATCATAGCTCACTGCATCCCTGAACTCCTGGGTTCAAGCCATCTCCCACCTTAGTCTCCCGAGTAGCTACAACTACAGGTGTATACCACCATATCCAGCTAATTTATTTGTATTTTGTAGAGATGGGGGTCTCACTTTGTTGCCCAAGCTGGTCTCAAACTCCTGGCTTCAAGTGATCCTCCCCACTCGGCCTGCCAAAGTGCTAGGTTTACAACTGTGAGTCACAGCACCCAGACCATTTTTACATTTTTTAATGATTGTAAAAACAAAGAATAATATGCATCAGAGACCATATGTGGCCCCCAAAGCCTAATATATTTACTTTCTGGCCCTTTTAATAGAAAAAGCTTGCTGCCTCTGGATTAGATTATCTCTAAAGTCCCTTTAAACCCTGACATTTTAGCATTCTAATTCTACTGGGTTTCCTTGAATTGTCTGATTCCGGCTCTTCACGTAGAGCAGTACCAAGTCTGAAACAATACCAAAGGCACAACAGGAACTCAACTGTGATTTGCTAACTGAATAAATGAATTCTGCAGCAGCAACCCTAAGAACTAACTCCTCTACCAAGGGGGCAAGTGGGTCAATGTGTATCAAGTGACTGCCTAATAAATGCCCCCAGAGTGGACGCCACAGTGAGAGGAACAATCCACTCTATTGGCCTTTTGGATGACAGTGGCACCTGGAAGGGCCTGGAGCTCAGATAACCAGGATTAAAACTCACCTTGTTCCACCAAATAAAAAATACATGGAGCCATCCCCTGAATAAACCCCTTGGGCAAATTATAAAGCTATGTCGAAATAGCTATCAGAAACACAGATCATCTAAACTGATAATCTTAATAGTCATGGACCCAAGAGAATAAATTCCATCCACAATAAGGCATATAGAATAATTTAGCTCACAACATTATTTCTTTTTCCCTCTATTGTTGTTAAAAATACATGATACCAAAACAAGGAATTCAAACAATTATGTCAGGGCAACAAGCCAAGGAAAGTCTTGAATATATGATCCTATTAACACTAATGGAAGATAGAGCAAGGTAAAAGAAAAAATAAAGCTCCCTGCCTCGACTCTTGACTACACATACTTTCCCAAAATAAACAGCCAGCAATTATTCTTTTAATGTTCCTCCTCTATTCACCCATAAATCACTGCTATGTATAAACCTCTTGCTGATTTCAAAGGATGTTTTTTTTTTTCTTTCAGTCTTCCTCTTTTTGATTGCTAACAATGAGTTCTAAAAAGGGCTGAGGGTGCTTTTCCACCATCCCTCAGTAGAGCATCTCCATTTACAAGTACAATACACTCCAACCACACACTTTGTCGTCATACTGTTACTTATAAATCACACAGTTGATCTAGAGATTCTGCCTTTTCTCCTTTCCTCTAAAGAAGCAACTTGGGGCTGGGCATGCTGGCTCATACCTGTAATCCCAACACTTTGGGTGATAAGAGGATGGATGGCTTGAGGCCAGGAGTTTGAGATTGGCCTGAGCAACATAGCAAGACTCTGTCTCTACAAAAAATAAAATGATGCCCACTTCTCTCCACAAGGCCCCGTATGCCCAAAAATGACATGGAGTCACAAATCTCACCCTCTCCCCAG